TTCTACGAAAATTTCTGTTTCGCTGCTTTTCTAAACTAGACAGAGTGCGGTAAAATCAATCTCGACTGTTCACTGCGTACGATATTTCTTGAAATTTTGCATGAAGATGTGATCAAAGCTACATGTTCCGCTTTTCCTCAATGAAATTTGGAATTGGAATTTAGCACTGTGCGGAGCTCTCGCTCCTTCTTTGCTTTTCCAGAGATACACATACTGAATTTCTTTAATTCGTTCTTCAAACTATTGGAACGAAGAAAACTAGAAGAAACTGACAACTATCTAGTCGGAGCCATCTTGTACAGGACGGTTTCGAATATACAAGAAACCGATGACAACTATGAAAATTACCCATAGCATTGAAGTGTAGCTGTTTTTGCACCTTTTTTTCCAGCATTGCAGATAAAAGATTGTAATACTTTATATCTATATGCTATTGAAAATTTTCTCCTGCCTCAGGTTCAAAGCCCAAAACCAAGCCTCAAAAGAAAAGGACTGAAGAAGAGAAGAAGTTCCGACGGAGGGCAAAGTATTTTCTAGGTACTCAGCTGGTTGCAGTTTTGGTATTCCTTTCTCTCCTTGGAGGATCTGATGATTCTGAGGCTCAACCAAATGATGATGGTGGTGGCATCTATCATGATGATTAAATTTTTTATATTTGCTCAACTTGTCTGTGTTCCCATCATGGTTTCCTCCCATAGATTGAATGGAGATTCTTGGAGAACTGATGTTTATAGTTTTTTGGTACAAAATGTACTAGTCCACAGTTTAACAGCATTAGTCCTTGACAAATTGAAGTTTGTAGCAGTGTTTTTTTTCACTCAAACCTCCAAAACATGGAACATCACAACTTCTGTTGTTACTACAGTGGTTTCAAAATGCACTTTTTTTTTAACATTTCCCTTTAGAAGAATTTATCTGGTACTTCCCTTTTTCATTTTATTTTTCAGGAATCTAATATGAATTCTTCTTACTACTCCGTAGTTTATTTTCTTATCTTTTTGTTTTTCAATAAAACTTTCTACTTCATAAGTTAAGACTTTGTTTGGGAATATCATTTGTAAGTTGTAACTTGTGTTAGTTTTTGAAAAATTTTTATACTTTGATTCCCATGACATTGGAGTTGAATGTCATAGGATGACATTAGCTCCAATTGGGACACTCAGGTGCTCCAATTTGTTGACATTAATCTTTTTCTTGGACCTCTCAAGTTTAGTTGATCATTAACTTCTAACACAATGAGATTGATTTTATTTGGATTCCAAATTACTCATATGCTACCAAGGAGGTGGGTAATAGAACTCCATCCTCTAAACCACTTAACTTTGTGGTGTCAAATAGTTTCCAACATACCCAAAGCAGTAATGTTATACTTATTAATGAAGTTTGAACATTCCTTTGTTTATCAGGACTGTTCAACACTTGTATTTCAACACCCAATCATAGTATAAGGGAAAATACCCCTCACATAGGGCCTCAATAAAATCTTTATTTATGTTTCCAAAACTCTCTCGATCTTCCATAGGCTTTCAAATTAATTTTCTTTTGCCTTGGATATTCTGAGTAGGATTACGCCTTTTCCTACACATTTCTAATGAATGTCACATTCTTTTGCAATGATTACATAAAATAGGAGACGACATGGTATCGGAGCCTTGATGATCAAGAGATTACGAATTCAAAACTCACCGCCACCTTTTTTTAAAAACTTTGTTTGGACCACAATCACAAGTTTGAGTTTTTTGATTGAGTTACAATTTACAAAGCTAGATAGACTCTGATACTTTATTTCCAAATCAGGAAATTGGATTGAGATGCTGAGATGTGGATGTCCTTCAAATCCATTAACATCGAGCTAAATCTCACCGATGATACACAAACTTTGAGCAATATATCATTTTGGAATCTAAGACAAATTTTCTCACAAAAATATGTGAACTTTGAAGAAATTTCCCAACAAGGACGAAAATGTATTGGGTCTCTTTTCACTTTTATTTTTTCATTTTTTTCCAAAAAAGAAAATGGAATCTTTTCTTAATTTTTAATACTCTGTACAAAGTATTAAAAAGAGCCTTGATGACTTTGTAGGAAAAAAATTGCTTTATTTGATTTCATTTTTTTATGTATCTTACAAACAATATTGTACTTTTGGAATAATTTTCTATAAAATTTTAAAAAACATTTAAAACACAAAAAAGGAAACAAAGAAAAAAGTGAGGGATCTGAGTGTTATTACCATAACACATTTAGGGTAAAATAGGAAGAGCGTGTTTTTTATCACCTATGAATAGATTAGTGGATGAAATATCTCCTCCCAATAATTACAACAAAATTTAACGATCTATGTTGTCTTTTTTAAAACTAGAGACTTGAAAATTATTTCAACAAAACCTGTATCACCTAAATCTATGTCTTCCACTTTCTGAAAAACGCACCACAAACTAACCTTCTTTTAGAAACATAGCAATATAGCATTATCAATAGCACATCTTTTCCATATTCGCGAGAAAAAAAAGCCTTTAACTTGAACTGAAGGATTAGCTCCCAACATGCAACAAACTAGGGCAACATCCCACTTACCCGGTTCAACAATGTCCCCCTTCCTGAATTGTGCAATGTACTGGCCATTAATAACATGTGTGATTTTAGTACTATAAAAGTGTTTTTATCCATCAAGTAAAAACCATAACATAGATAGAACAATATTCTGGTAGTAGTAAAAAATCAACTCATTAACTTTGCATGTCCATAAAAAGTTACCCCTTATAATACTGGTAGTAGTAAAAAAAAATCAACTTATTAACATTGCATGTGCTGCTAGGGGGGACATGGAAAAAGAAAAAAAGGGTGGGAGGGTAACTGTTACCATTATTGCTCTTAATGAAGAGCTCCTTCTATACAGACTTCTGTTGACTGTAACGTAGAATGCCATAGACATCGACAATTCCAGGAGGGAAGACCGTATCGGTAGCTGCTCTGACGGCTACTTTTGCCACCGCAGTGACGTTAACGGGAGGAGTGAGCAAAGGGCCCACAAGAGGAAGTTGGTTCAATGATTTTGCATGTTGGAGAACCTGCAATGGGATGTATTAATGATGAATGTCTGTCAGTGAAGTGTGCATATGATAAAACATACAGTACTAAGAATAGATTAATGCCAAATTAAGTCTTGTTTGGGAACAACATTTTCAGTTCGCGTTTTGGATAATTTTTTAAACATTGAAAACGTTAAAGCTAAGTGTTGTCTGTCATTAGATAGCCCTTTTAAAACGTTAAAGCCAAATATTGAAGTTGATCCCAAACAGACACTTAGAAGGACATATGCTCAGACATCACGTGTGTGCTCTGGCCACGCTAGAGAGCTATAGAAAGACCTTTTCTTACATAAAGCATAATTTCAGTAGAGCCCGGTTCAATGGCCACTGGATTCCAGTGGCCACGGAAGCCACTGCCCTCCTACGAGGCTCCGTTCATAAAATTGATGATTCCTACCCCCGGTAAACCCCCCCGCCAAGTCCCGACCCAAACTAATCATCCCACCTACGTCAATTGCACCTCGTAAGTATAAAGTCAAAACTTTTGACTTTAAAGTCAATTATACTTACGAAAAGTCAAAAAAAAAGATAAGAACAAAGAAAAGCCAATTACCATTTCAAGAGGAGAACCAACTACACCAAGGGGCAATTTCATGCTCCCGACACGACGAGTTCCATAGATGAATCCAGGTCTCAAAATCACACCTAAATACAGAACCAAGCCATAATCTCAAATCGATTAGGTTGCCGAAATAAAATCACGCCTAAACAAAATCAGAAAAGCTTGTGCGGTTGAGAAAAAGAATGCAAAATAATAGTTTATAATGATAAAATGATAATGTTAAACATTTCAACAACTGTAATCCAATTTAGGAAAATCCAATTAAGACAAGATATCAACTTCGTATAAAATTTGCCAATTATGGGAACTAAAGGGTAAAAGCACTTTAGCATTGTTAGCAAAGAGTTAATGATGATTAAAATAAGAGGAACAATAAAAAAAGTTATCTAAATAGGAAGCCAAGGCATGCAAACAGCCACCAAATAAGTGAAATATTAATGCTCCTTCTGTCCCACAAAAATCATCACATTACGGTTTACGATTACAGTTTAGGTCTTTAGGATGTACGACTGAAGCTATATTCAATTCAATTCAATTAAGATTGGTGTAGAATTTAAAAATAAAATTTTTAACAAATAGTGAATGAAAATTTAGGGAAAGAGTATGATTTGAGCACATAAATAGTAAATATAAAGATTTTTTTTTGGGAGGGGGGGGAGGGCATATGTTTTAGTGAAAAGTAAATTCAGAAGACGGCTAAATTCGATTTATATGACAAACCTAAGAGCTTAGAATGTCAAGCAATCCCAAAGATTTTACACAATTATTTTAGATTGAGGAATTGAATGCAAAAAGTGAAACAAGTTCAAAAACCATTGTTTTTTACAATATTGATACCAACTAATTGGTTGGTACAGTTCAGTCATTGTACAAGCGTTTGCATATGATCTGGTCCACTAAACTAAACTTTGAAGTCGTTAGATAAGGAAGACATGCAAAATATATCAATTTCCAATATGTAGTGATTCATAGCATATCCCCCTTAACTTCGGACCAATTTTTTCAAACTAAATTTACTAAACAAGTGCAAACCATTTGATGATACTAGTGTATACTGTATAGGATCCAACCAACAACACTGCTTGTACTGATAACCATGTTTCTACACCTTAACTAAAAGCTTTACTGCTAAAGCTATTGTGCTGACTGCTGAGGTGACACTTGTGTGTGCAAATTGTGCATGTGTTGTGTACTTCTGTGTAGTCTTCAGTTATAGGATACAATTTCTGCAGTCACAAACAAAAAATAATGTTTCAGCTTTCACTACATACAAATGTAAGAAAATTCACCTCCATAGGTATATCGGGTCAAAAGTTCAGTTTCGGCAGCTCTCTGCAACATGTGATAAAGGACATGTTTGTATTAGGAAAAGAGAAGGTTATATTCTGATAGGAACAAAAATAGGAGGGGGGGGGGGATAAAAAGGATACATTGTTATGAATTCATGAAATCAGAATCTAATGTCACAAAACAATAAAGATGAAGATAAATCTTTGTTAGGGGGTAAGCAAGTATATTGAACTCATTGGACTAACAAAGCCAAGGATTATTTAAGATTCACCATACTTATCTCAATAACCCACAAGAGGAGAATCTCCAATTGGATAAAACTATATATTTATTTCTTAAGCTGTGGTACACTTCTCATACGGCCATCCTATTTATAAGACTGGAATACATTTAGAATAGATAAATAAAACCTAGATAATTCCCTCGGACCATGACAATTGACTCCCTAGTCCCTACAAACACTCCTAAGACTATCCCATCAATCCACAACTCAGATAATGGGAATAAGAGCTTGTATTCCTCAACTAATTTTGAATACTTATTACTTATTCTTATTAGAATCAGATCAGATCAAAAACAAATTTAAATACAACTACGAGACCAGATCAAAACTTATTCCAATCACGTGAAGACAACAAGCCCTAACTACCTAAAAATTAACAAATACAATTATTAATACAACAATAACAGAAAATATCTAAGATAAAATAAAAAATAAATAAACCAATGAATATAATTCCTAATATTTCTCTAACTTCTCCAAATCATCCATCATCTCACGCATTGGTATTCTATCATATTCCTAGGGAGTTGGGGTAAAGGAAAAGAAAATAGAAATAAGAAAACGCACAATGTAATACTCTAATTTCAATACGCAAATATATGCCATTTAATTATAACTAATTTCTTTCAAATATCATGTGCATTCACAAACAAGTAGCAAACAGCTCGTTCTTTGAGTTTCTTCATGTCAGCTCATTTTAAACAATGTACTATAATGGGATTGCGTTCAGCCATACACTTCAGAAAATCAGATCCGAAGCAATTATTATTGACCGCATGACAATTAACACCAATGTGATTATGCTGAGCTTACATAGAATACTTAAGTAGCAAAGTCACATTTGTTATGGCAAGAGTGCAAAAATATAACGCCATCTATTTGCAAAAAAAACGTATTAAAAAAACATACCTTTCCCTCATAATAACCTTGTAGTAGGTAATTCACAAAGCCAAAATCAGCAGCCGAAATGTATACAAATCTTTTTACTCCTGAAGCCAAAAATGGAAACATGTGATACAATGGATCAGTAAAAATATATACCGTATTTCGCAACACGTGTAAGCCAAGTTAGTCTCCCATGGATCCCAATGCCTCTTGGAAACAGCCTCTCTACTTTCTTGTAGGGGTAAGGTCTGCGTACACACACCTTCCCCGGACCCTACTTATGTGGGATTCTACTGGGTTGTTGTTGTGGATCCATCCCAATGCTAAAGTTTTTCCAGGACAGGGGAGCCACTATCAAATCCCAGGAGATATTAAGGACTTGCTGGATTCAGAAAAGTTGCTTCATTTGAGTATTCCCAGTCCTACCAATTCCATTGTCATTTATAGTGATTGTTATTGGTCAATTTTTACAAACCCCAATGTGACTAATGTGAGGGCCATAGGGGTGGTGTTGTCAGATTTCTGAGACAAAAAATAATACAGTATCCTTGTATAGTGTCTATATGAAAATCATGGACACGGATAAATTGTCGATTACATGGATACAAAAAGGTTTGGCTGTCCGGTCAGGATAGGAGGTAAACTTTACCATTTTGTGTTCTACTTGTAGCAATCGAGTGTACAGGCAGAATATTTACAAATGACACTTCAAACATGAGAACTAATATGTTGAAGCATCCTCTAACTATCAAATTTTACAAGATATAGACTATGATTCTATGTAGCTTGTTTGTGGAAAGTATAATTTGCAGTCGATCATAAATTATACTCCGTAATAAATATATACTCCATCCGTCCCTATTTTAACTTCACCCTTTCCTTTTTCCTCCGCCTAATTATAATCTCTAGTTTCCTTTTAAAGAAAGGAATATGTGATTCACAACATTTTTCTCTTCTAAACAAAATTCCACCACGCACTTTTCACTTATCAACACTTTTTCAATGGCGTGCCCCGTAAAACCTGACACTGAAAGCCTACAACAGGGACACCGGGAGTATAATACTCAGTAGATTGGTGAAACAGATATGAATGGTTCAGTTTGTGGTCAATTAATAGTTCATAAATGAATAAAATAAATGAAATCATAAAATGCCACAGTTTCAAGTAGTCGGTCACAGTACTTTCCTTTTTTGTTCTTCTTTGATAGGTATCAGAGAGTAAATCCTTGTCAGACGATGATAAGAACATATGCTGCCAAACACTGAATTTTTAGCCTAAGTTCTACATCATACGCATTTCAGACCACTAAGTGCTTCAAAATGTATAGAGCACTCAAGCAATAGAGTGCCTATCCATGGCTCCAAGAAAAAGTTTCACAGTAGCAGAACTGAATCACACATGAGGAAGTTTTACTTTCACTTATGGCTAATCCTGGCTCACTTTTTGGACTAGAACATAAAAACCCTTCACTTCTAGAATTTCTTTACAGGGGCATAAGCAGATCTTAAGAAACAATAGACAATTTAATGAAGCAAGATAAGATGTACCATAATTGATAAGGTTCTTAGTAATACCTTCTTCAGCAGCAGCTCTTATAGCATTTATGTTGGCTGTTCCATTGATCTTATACATGTGTGAATTAGAGCCAAAGCCGCCTACACACGATATCTGCAAAAGTGTTTCCACTTCAATGAATAGATCGATACTTTGCAAAGCAACTCAACTGATTCATAACCCCTTCCCCCCACCCCCCCCCACCCCCACAAAGAAGCATTTAAAAGATGCAGGTGCATCAAACACTTAAATTCTTAAACATCCATGAGATAAAATGGAAAAAAATGATCTGAAAGATACTCTGCAACTATTAAAGCCCTAACAGAGAAGGAAAAAACCGGAGACCCATTTCAGAATTATGCAAGCTCTAGTCAAACAACTGCAAAAACTTTAGTGTCTTACTCTCTTACTTCCTATTACGACCAAAAAATCGGTGTCCCTATAAGTGATCAGAAATACATCCCTAAATATTGAAATCTCTTGTTTGAACTCTAATTTGAAATGCTAACTATAATTTCGATTTGCAGCCATTGAACCCTGCTGCTCTACTCACCGAACTATTCTTTTAGGATTCCAGTGGGCAACCAATAGATATTACTCCAGTATATTACCATGGAAACATGAGGGGTGGTTTTTGATATGGGAATTCACATAGATTATCTAATTAACTCTTTTTTGTTCTTTCCTGGGATTGAAAAATTAAAAAATGAAAAATCTGGTTATGGGTGGTGGCGATGCATTTACACAGAATATTATGAAAAAGAACTGTCATCCCAAAATGTTGCGAAGGTTGTTGCCTGGGAAACTAGGCCGTCTAGGTCTCTAGGCAACAAGTAGCCATATGCAATATTTGAAATTTTGAATACAATATAGTTTAAAAATATTATACGTGGATTACTAATATATTACTCTATTTTTAATTCAAAACAAGAGTTTAATACTGTTTCAAATAAATTAAACTGCAGACTTTAGCAAAAGGCAGTATTGTGAGTGATGTGACAACTATCATAAAGAAACGAAAAAGATGGTCATAAAGATAAACAAGTTAACTACACAGATAAATAAATAAACAAAAACGAAGATAGAATAAAAAATATACACCCCATGCCGAACGACTCTGTTGTGTCGCCCTCATAATTGAAGGCGCCACCGCAGATCGGTTTTGATGGCGCTGGAAAGGTGGTCTTATTTCCAGTTGGGATGATTCTCTGGACAAATTTAAACTACATTTAGATCCATTGCATTATGTGGATTACTTTGGCCAACTTGCTAAACTATGTCAAATGGGCATGGTAATGGAGTACCAAACCACCGTTGAGGGTATTTTGCAACATGTTACGGGGGTATCCGAGGCAAATTTGATATCTTTATTTCACTCGGAGCTAAAACCCCATTTACGTCATGAGATCGCCTTGCTCAATCCTGAAACGCTCTCTGATTCATTTGCGATGGCCTAGGAAATGGAGGCCAAACATATGGCCTTAGTTCAATCAGTGGCCGCCACCGTGGGCATCACCTGGGAAGTTCAAGATACTGTACACAGGACCGCGGCAACATCAGGCCCTGGTTCCATCGACATCCATGCCTGGTCCGGAAACCACAACAACAACTTCAGCTACTCCCAGCACAATTCAGCGCCTTACCCGAGCTGAAAAAATAGACAAGGACGCCAAGGCAGGGATGGACAAAAACTCACCATTGTGGTCGGATGTTGCTCCTCATCGGAGACGACGACGAAGATGATCAAGATGGGGACACAATGATACCAACAGCTGACAGCCCGAACCCCTTGTGATTGTTGATATTTCAATTTTGCACACACTGGCAGGCCTGGCTACTCCTCGTTCACTCCGTTTGACGGGTTGTCTGGGGTCACAAGATGTCCATGTGCTGATCGACGGGGGGAAGTACACATAATTTTGCACATCCAGACTTGGTGTCGAATCTCCAGTTAACAGTTTCCTCAATGCCGTCCTTTCGCATATATGTAGGTAATGGCTATTACTTTGTGATATGCAGTGTGATGGCGATAAACCACCGAAGATCTTGACTAAGCTAATTGTGTAAAGTTTAGAGAGAGAGAGAATGCCGCCATCAGCAGTGTGTGGCTGTATGTCTAAATCTACAGGGGACCGAGTTTGCAGAACACTTATTTGTTTTGAACATTAATGGCCCCGATATGTACTGTGTCAAATGGTTATAGGCTTACAGCAGTTGGGGCGCGTGAGCGCGTCGGTCATGACTATTCCATTCTTACAATGGAGTTCACGTGGCAGGATAAGCTGGTAATTTTACAGGAGAGCCTGTAGTGCCTGAATCTGTTCATGAATTTGATCTTTGATATACTCTCTTCAAGCTGCAGGATGGGTGTCAGAATGATTTGAAGTGTATTACTTGGGTACTTTGAGTACAATTATGTCCACGGTCACTCCAGATCACCTGGCCGAAATCCCTCTGCCCATAAAACAAGTATTGGATTCCTTTGCTCAGGTTTTTGCTGTTCCCATAGGCTTGCTACCACGTCGTGCTGCCGATCACTGCATATTCCCTCAACCAGGGGTGGCACCAGTTAATGTCTGTCCGTACTGCTATCCGCATTTTCAGAAGGATGATGCCTTGGCTGACCACACAAACTGAGTGGCAGCCTTAATCGTAAGGTGCTTTCCTTATCTAGACTCCGGAGTTCTTTTTTTCTTTTTCGGTCTCGTATGGCTATTCGAATGAAGAAAAAACAGGTTCTGATACAGGTTGGTCAAAGTTGATTGAAAAAAAGGCATTGCTATGAACGCGTAGTCAACATCATTTAATGTCCATTTCTCTTTGATGAGCGACCTGCCCTGGCGAGTATTCTCCACTGCTTAGACGCCATGGCGTCGTCTAGGCGTGAAGCTATAATAACCATGCATGTTACTGACCAAATCAATTTTGCATAGACGAAGCTATAATAAGTAATAACCATGCATGTTACTGGCCAAATCAATAAAAAATTAGTCATTTGTCAATGACTACTTTGAGAGATTCATATAGAAGAAATGTAAAAGTAATACATACAACAGAATCTACTCCATTTAGTGCTTCTTTCCAGGAATCATTTGAGAGAAGGTTTCCTGTCACCAGGGTATAAACAGATTATAAGTTCTTGTGCATAGTAAAAGGAAGGCAGGAAGCTAGGATTTTAATTAGCCAAACAATAGTGAAACCTTGGTGCCAAGACACATTGTTTACCCATGGCTCTTGTATGGATGGCCTGCCTGTTCTATAAGAGTAAATAAACCTAAGTTAGTATAAACAAGATGTAAACTGACAATGCCCAATCTCTCATGAGTGTACCACAAAAAATAAGTTGAAGAGAGTTCACATGAATGAGGTTCCTCATGTAGCCATAATCATAAGTTGCGTACAAAAATGTCCTATTTCTCTATGATAAACTAATTACATTCTACAAATTTTTGTTCTAAAGTCTAAACTACCAAAAATAAGAAAAAATCTGTAGGACACCAAATGACATTCTATGCTTTTTTTTCTATTTCCCTCCCTTACAAATATAGACACTACCACAGTACCGCGTCCAACTAGAGCCTAGGGTGTAAGTGAGTCGGGTCTAGGCAATTGTTTACAAGAGCCAGGACCAGACCTTTTTATTTGTTTTGTTCCAGACCCGAGTCTCAACCCGAGACTCTCAACCCAATGGATCCCATTTAAAATGTTCCAGACTTGGGAACCAGACCCTTATATCTACCTGCCCTGATATTTCTAAATGGGAGTCGCATTAGGCTGAATCACCAGTAAAATCTGTAGAAACTACGGAGTAAATTTTTATGAAATCAAATCAAACATGATATGAACGAGACAAAAAAAAAGTTAGAACAAGATACAAAAATTGCTGGCAAATCTACAAAAGGAGTCTAACGAAGACGCAATCAACAAAATAAAAAAATATAAAATTCCTCCACCCCTCCCCTTTCAGTTCCCAAGTTAATTGTCACATAGATACATGCAGAGTAGTTTTGGTTTTGTATTCGCATCCCAAAATGCCAATAAAAAGCAGATTTTCTTTTCTGATAGGGGTGGATTTGATTAGATGAGAAGAACTAGAGTTTGTCTGATAGGCAAATAAAAAGTTACTTCTGTATAAGTAGGAACTTTATTGTGAGGACAACCAAACGAAAAAAGAAAAGAAAACTAGGAACATAATTTGAGGACTGAGGGAGTATTTGGGTGTGGGCACAGAGTACAAACACAAAATAATCTTAATTGGGTACTTGGGTTGGGCTTTTTAAGAAATCTGAGACCCACCACATTTGATATGAGATGATTGCGTCCAGGTTCGGAATGTGCCCGTATGAAAATATGTGCTAGACTCATTTCAGTTGTTTGGGTAGGATCCGGGTCCAAAATTGACCATTGACAAACCTACGTCCAGTAATTCTTCCACGTAAAATGGTATATAGGCCATTTAACACCAGTTAGAATCCAATATGATGCTCCAAAAATGGTCCCATCCCAGATGCATGGTTAATAATTAAGAAACAGATTCATTTACTTATAGCAGCCTCTATTTAACTAACACAAGTGAGGTTGTGTGCATCTTCCTTTAACAATCCCCTGTGGAACAACCATTCTTTATTACATAGATGTTTAAAGACTACACAAAAATGTGAGAAACCCGGAAATTTTGATGTGTTATGAAAAGCTCCATATGACTAAGATGAAAAGTCATGAAAAGTTCCCGGTCAATACAATGCAAACAAATTCTCTGATCCGTACGCATTATTACTAACAATGCATGGTGAGAAGATTTGAAAGCCAAAACAATTTACTAGTAATATCAATGGACGGCCTAAAGACCGAAAAGAAGGTCCCACATGATGACTTGACCGACATCATCGCCAAACAACGGTTGTGGTAAGAAAAATTGTTCAGGTGATGAGACTTCCATCGTGCTTAGAGTAGAACGCACCAAACCTGGCGAGAGGGAATCAGAGCCTCTTGCGATGAGCTTGATCTTCAGGAATAGAATCAATCATGTTTTCAACATTCTCATCGTCTTCATCATCACCCCGAATTGCAATGAGTGAAGTCATTCTGATCTGTATCTCCAACTCGTATGGAGACTGCGCATGTTCTAGCTCGCATGTTCTAGCTCAATGAACTTGAAGATCCAAGGATAAAATTCATGAAGGATGACCTACTTTGCTTGAGACACTGATCCCTATCGATACTAAAATGATTACTTGTTTTCACTTCGTAATTCCCCTACTTCTTCCTCTCTAATGCAGGCTGAAAAATAATTATTGGTACTTGAATGGTTATATTAACTCAACTCACAATCACTAGCTAGCTATAAGATATGGTGGAGACAGTACGTTATATATATTAGGACAGTAGAAGTAGTCGAAGAGAAAACCCTACAAGGTGTACTAGCAGATAATTCCCCGCAGCTGAAACATATGATCAAGTGAAACAATTCAGTATATTAACGTGTACAATAATTCATAAACGTACTAGTTGAAAGTCCCAACAAAGTTAAGTCCCAACGAAGTGATACACTAATCATCAGAAAACTGCACACATTGCTTTGCTCGGACGACCTACTGTATATGTGCTTGCAGACTCATATCCGATAGCATATGAGAAAGAGGGGATAAAGAATCGGAAAACCGCTGCATCAAAATCATTTGCTAGTACACCCTGCACGATGTTCTCTTTTACTACTACTCTGTCTCCATCATATACTATAGCTAGCTAGTAATTGCGAGTTGAATTAATATAATCATTCTACGTACCAATTATAATTTTTCAGCCTACATTTGCATTAGAGGGGAAGAAGCAACAGAATTACGAAGTGACAACAACTTATCATGATGGTGTCGTTAAGAAGCGGTATCTTAAGCTGGTCATCCTTCGTGAATTTCATCCTCGGATCGTCACATTCTTTGATCTAGAACATATGCGGTCTCTATACAAGTTGCAGACGCAGATCAGAGGGACTTCAAGAATCCAATTTCCTCTTGCCGGGTTTGATGCGTTCTACTTCAAGCACGATGTAAGTCTCATCACCCGCAAACAATTTTTCTTACCACAACCATTGTTTTTGGCGACAATGTCGGTTAAGTGGTCATGTGGGACCTTCTTTTCGGTCTTTAAGTCGTTTTGTCGATATTACTAGTAAACTGTTTTACTTTTAAATCTTCTAATCATGCATTGTTAGTAATAAAGCTTATGGATCGGAGTATATGTTTGCATTGTATCAAACTATACAATTTGATACAAAATCATATGAGGTTGAGTACCTGTTAAGGCTAGAAACGACTAGGCCACGCTCCAAGGCTTCTTTGCACATATGTGAGCCAACAAATCCATTTCCACCCAGCACAAGTATCTGGACCCACCAGCACAGAGTCACTAAAAATTCGTCACTAAAAATTCTTTTGCAGGAAATGGCACAATGGATGTGAATTAAAACTATGAATAACCTTCTCTCTAGGAGGCAAATTTACAGTTTCAGCTTCCTCAACTTTAAAAGGGTCATCTATTTTGTTGGACTCGCTTGAAAAATAGCAAGCATTTCTCCATCCAGTCATATGCCTACATAATAAAAGCACCAAGAAATAAAAAAGTATATCTTTATGCCATGTAAGAGTAAAATATAAGAGGTTGAGACCAATCACAGGAAGAAGGGAGCTGTTTACTGAGATGAAGGAAATGACAAGCAAGGTAAAAATAGAAGCAAGTTTAGTAACCTATTAATCACATATCTCTAATGCATACATACCAAAACATAGAAAGCCTAACTTCCGTTGAAAGCTCACACAGATCAGGATAAGGTAGTTCATGTGTCAATAACACACCACAAATTACAGAGCATACGTTTGATAATCATTTCTCAAGTAAAATGTTGAATGATGAGTTGATGCCCAACCTCCCAACTAGGAGCAACTCCAATAGTTGTCTTATATTGTAAAAAAATGGCAGACTGGAAACGCAATAATTGTACAGCAATGACAGCATGCATGTATCCCTATCCACATCTATTGGCATACATACCTACCTACCGGCTAAAACTACATGCATTTGGGTGTCTACTGAGTGCGTTTTTTCATGAGGGTTTTTATGGGAATGCATTGGATTGTTATCCGTTAAAGAAGTTCATACGAATGACAATCTCAGGTTTATATAGTAAGTTTCGGAGGCCTTCCTTTTGTAGAATGAAAATAGCCAATTGCATGCGTCTCACTACTTAGCACTTGAAGAAAGGACAAAGAAACAAATTCTACATTATTAGTCTGCAATTTCAAGTTGACAATTAGTGATACTTAAGTGCTTCTTCACAACTATAAAACATTTCAATCATGATTACATCCCCAAAAGGCCCAAATGACACAAAAGTAATATGACATGTTGGCCTAGTAGTCCGGTGATCCTCCTCACCCACTTTAAAATGACCACTAAGAATCGAGTCATGCCATTCATGCCAAGTTCAAGTTCTTCCTAACCTCTCGTTAGGTCAATTGCACTACAATGTCCTTATGACCACCTCACTTCTAGTGCCGATTCAGTTAGACTTCTTGGTTTATGAACCAGTTTACCCACTGATTAAGTCCCCATGATTGATCTCACAGTCTAATACAAAACGGTAGTTGGTACCATGTAAATTTCTTACAAAAGTAATAAGGCAGACAAATAGACAATTGTATATTCAGACTAAAAAATGATCACGGCAGTTGGTACCATGTAAATTTCTACATACAGTATCCAGCAAGTATTAATAATATTGCAAGTTTGCAACGAGTTATCAAAAACCACAAAGATCATCGCCAAAAAATGGATCGAAATCGCCCAACTACCTGGCATCCAATCCATCAAATGACTACACTATGGACAGAGAACATCGGAGGGGTTAGCAATAGAAATCACCACTTCAAAACTTACGATGGCTTGGAGAGAAGAAATCTAGAGGCAGAAGAATGGATCAATCGTGATGCCATCTATGATCGTATCCTTGTTCTTCACGGAATTCCAACGAGTTTGAGTACAGAAGGCTGGCCTTTTGGATGCAAAAGGTTCTCCGTTGAATGTGCTATGGAGTGGGGAGAGAGAGCATGCGTGGCGTCATATGTAATAGACAAGTATGTGGAAGATGTGGCTGAATCCGTGCCTAGCAGGGGGAGAGGGCAAATTGGATTAAACCTTGGGTATCCAAATTTGGGATCCAACTCGCATACCACCCTTCCTAAGAGCATGAACAATGGCAAGGCGAAAATGGGATGCCACACGGTGATATGGAACATTTTAACCAATCAAAAATAGTCTAGTCAGCGTGTGGCAAGTGCATGGAGTGGCAAGTTCTACAATGGCAAGTCATTATTTTTTATCATTTTTTACATTTTTTTATGTTTTTAAAACATAAAAAAATATTTTTATTATTTATTTTATTAAAATATTATTCTACTTTCTTGTACACTTTTTTCATAAAAAATTTTAAAAAAATTTATTAAAAAAAAAGAAGGATGGAGTGTCACACTCATGCCTCACCAAGCAAGGCATTTTGGCCTTGCCATGCCATGATAAGAGTGGAAAAAGCTGATGTGGCAGTGCAAGGCATCCTTCTTCCTTGCCACTGCACATGCTCTAAGAGGGCGGATAAGGTCTGATTTAGATTCAAATCCGAAGTAGAAAGAGTTCTGGTTAAGATTTTCATTTTTAGAAACTAAAATCTTAGTTTTTTAATACTTAATTTTTATTTTTTTAAAAATTGCTACCCCGATTGGAAATTGGAACCGGTCGAAAACACCAGGTAAGGGTTCTATCGCACCCTTATAAGCACCGGAATCAGACTATTTCACCCCTATTTATCATCGATGTCTTCTTGAATGTTTGTGAGCAACTAATGTAACAATTGGGGCACGGCCCACGACCTAAAATTTCTAGGTCGGCCACATGGGGCACCCTTAACATGATTCTGACAAATTAACACGTCCAGAACATGGCTAACACTTCCTCTCAAACCAACAACCGTTAGTCCTGTTCGTCTTTCTCTTCAATTCATTACAGCCTAACACGATACAATTTGAAGACACAAAAATCAAAGTTACACGCCTACCTCGCCTCAAATCTGCTCCAAAATCCAAGCCCAACAACATCAATAATAGCTCAACTCAACTCTTCATATTAGTAGGAATGACAATTTCTACATGACCCAAGAGATACTTGTCCCACATGACCCGCTGTAATAGATAAAAACCTGAATAAATATGAATGATGGGTGGATCAAATAATGGGACGTGATGGTGCAAATTTAACCAGGTAGAAATTACAAGGACAGGTCGGGCAAGTCATACTTGACTAGTCAAACTTATTTGTTCCATATTGTGTTCAGTTGTTGTTGGCATTATCTTTTGGCAAACGAATAGTTTTATTTAGAATTATTTGTAGTTGTTTTAGTATAGAGCTATAGCGTCATGTCCGTCACCTTGTAAAGAACTGCAGCATCCCAGAATTCTATTCCTACTTGATTTACTTTTGGACTAGAACTCTGAATCCTACGGGGATAGGGTTTAAGGTTTGTGTATCTGTGCCACAAGTCTCTCACAAAAGATGGGAGGGCCGGAATATACACAAGATAAAAAGAAAATATGGAGCATCCAACTTAGTTAGAGAGGGTTACGGTATTGTAGCCTCCATCACCGCTGGTTAGTCGTCAGCCATCGACCAACGTTGCCGCCACCACATTAACATGCGGCATTCAATAATGCTTTGTGCGACTATTTCCATACACTAGGTTGAGCAAAAAGGAAAGGAAGACCAAGTATTTATTTCTTAGTTTTGAAGTGCAACTAGAAAAGAAAATATAGAGTATATTTGCTGCCAAGAAGAAAGCGAATCCGAAGTATATTTGCGAATCTAAAGAAAAGCAAATCCAAAGTATATTTGTTGTGAAGAATCTTCAAAAGGCGCACGTCTAATTTTCCAAAGCTGTAGTTGTGACTTATTGATAATTTTGACAACATCGTTGTATTTTATCATTGTTGTGCCATTCGTCATTTAATCTACATGCTATGGTTCAGATTTTGTGAAGTCGATTCTTGAATTAGGGTTGCAAACATGTCCTTGAAGATATCTTGGTGAAGGGGTGCAACAGCCTAGAAATGTTCTTAGTAGTTAGCCGTTATTTTTTAATAAATAAATATTATTTATATATGTTAGAATTAATTGTTTTAAATTATTAACTATTATTGTGATTTTATTATCCAAATGTGATTTGAAGGTACGACTTGTTTTAATGAATAAATAAGAAAAGTTTATTCTACAGGCCTATCACTATTAATTAATTAAAAATAATTAATTAATGATTGAGACGGAGCCAGAGTGAGAAAATATAAAGTTGTGAGTATTGACTTTTTATATACTATTATTATAATTTTGACAATCTCGTTCCAAAAACAGAATCAAGATCCAATTTGGGAGTGTGGGTGAAAAGTGTACGGAGTTGAATTGAATATTGAAATCACCAATAGGATTGAGAATTAGGAAATTAAGGTTATGTTGGTGTCGTTGTGCACCTGATGGTCTTGAGAATTAAAATGTACGTTCGAAGGTTAGTGACCCTCTGGTAGGAGCTAGAGGGAGCCCCAACCCCCTCCATTGAGAGGTCTTTGGATATTGAGAATGGTTCCTAGTGAGAGCTTGGATCCAACGACTCCCATATGTCAGATGTGAGCCTTAACCAACATAGGTTAAGAGTAGTGAGTAGTTGGGTATGTTATGATGATTAATGATGTTATATGATGATATGATTCATTCGCATGACATTGTATGACTGTGTGAGAATTAGTTCGGGCATTAAATATATGCTTACTCACCTTTCAGCTGCGCGTGTATTCATTGTTGATCTTTTGCTACGCGTAGGTAGGAATAACCAGGGATTGGATGTGCAGCACGAAAATTAGTGATTCTTGACGAAGTGAATGGCCCGAAGATCTTTTATGTTAAATTAATTATTGAGTTGAACTTACTTAAATTACAAGAATGTTTTGGTGATTTTGTTTTTAAAGGCTTCTGCAACATTTTGATTTGTTTACTTCAATTCACTTATGTTCATTTCAAAGTATTATGAATGGGTGTTTTATTTTAAATATTTTAAATATTTTAAATATTGTGCATGTGGATACCAATTGTGTGGCAACCTGGTTTGCAAACTCGTTTATTCGAGATACACGGGTTGGAGTGTTATAAGGTGTATAGTCGAGAAACAATTTGAACATGGTTAAAAATAAAAGTCTTACTTTTGAGGTTTTGTCATAACAATTTATAGAAGAGTGTCTAAGATTTAGTAAAAGGCTATTACACAAACGTGGGCCCCATATACGTAGGAGATTTTGCTTCAAACTGCATAAAACATGGTGCACTGTTTACTATTTTCACTTTATTTTTATGCGTGTGTGAATGTGATAGAGAATGTGTTATAGCACTCTGTCTTTCATCTGTTTCTAGGGGTGGGCACGGGCCGGTCCGAGCCAAGATTTGTATAAACCGGACTCGACTTGTTTTTTTAAAACGGTCCGGGCCAGAACGGGTTTTCAAAATTTTAAAATTGAAACCGGCCGGACCTAACCCGGCTTGTTTTAAACGGGCCGATTCCACGAGTCAACGGGTCCGAACATATCATGATACTAATATTAAAAATAAAGGGATAATAAATTAATTTAAGTCATCCAACATAAAAAAAGAGATGTAAATGAAAATAAAACAATGACAAAGAAGGGCATGAGAGTAAATTGTACACCTCATGATCATCCAACAACAATAATAAAAAAGAAGACAACCATATTTTGGCATTATAATGTCAATGGGTTGCAAAAAGAACAAAATTCACAATCTTCATGGGTTCCGACTCTCTGACTTTGAAAGGTTTTTTTACTTTTCTGCCTGCGATTGGAAGGACCAAAAGATTGAAGGGCTTAGGCAGGTATATTTCCATATACACGTATATTTACTAAAAATAATATTAAAAATAATATTGAGATTTAAAAAAACGGTCCGGTCCAGGTCCAATACAATTTCAAAATGAGGAACCGGACCGACCCTAAAATTTGTAAGGACCGGACCGAACCGGACCGTTTGAAATATTTGAAAAGAGGACCCGACCCTAACTTGGACCGAACCTAGCGGTCCGGTTCCGACTCACGGTTCCTGGACCCGATTGCCCACCCCTATTTGTTTCTATGACAATGTTGTAGGATCATTTCTAGCAACTTATCTAGTCGACTAGTTTGTGTTGCTTATTTTTATTGGTGATTTAAGCTGTACTCCGAGGCATTTCAACTGGAATCATAGTGGTTAAACTTAATTTGCTAGTTTGATCTGATCTATAATCATCATGGGAGACCTACAAGAAGTTGCCAATATATTCAAGCACCCTCTATTGTGTGGCCATGATTATTCTTTTTGGAAGTATAAAATTTGAGCATTTCTCTAATGTAACACCCCAACCCACATAATCTGAATATATGGGTTAGCAAACCGAGTTGCTACTAAATTGGTATCCACATATAATATCCACATATAATATTTTCCACATATAATATGGGTTAGCAAACCGAGAAAATATTATTCTGTTTACTCATTTATAACTTTTATATATACACACACACACACACACACACATATATATATATATATAAGTCATATATGAGTAAACAGAATAATATTTTCTCTATTTAGAAATAAATAATTATGGTATTTAACTAAAGTTATAATCAATTTAATTTAATTCAGTTGTGGCATTAAATTAAAAAATAAAAATTATGTTTTCTTAAAGTTTTATAAAATAAGAGTTGATTGATTTTTCAAGTAATTCATACAATATTTATAATATATATAAATAAATATTTGCGTGATATGCACTTCCTATTAATATCTATTATATCAATGGTTTAGATTTTGAATCTTATCTCAAAACCCAAAAATAATACTCCCTCCATCCGGAATTTAAGTTCCCATTTTGACTTTTAGTCATTTTTATTGAGTATTGACTTTGGGAATAAAATGTCCACAATACCCTTATTCCCTTCCCTCATCCTTCCATGTTACCTCAACACTGCCCTTCCCTGCCCACACCTCCACCGGCCACCGCCACCTCCCAATCGCCCCATTGACCCAACCCACGCCACCACCGTACCGCCGCACCCCCACCGTCAGCTCCACTCGCCGCAGGAGCTTTAGGAGGAAGCA